GATAGTTATGATACTGAGCTTTCGAATAAGATGTTGGACGAAAATATTTGTATCAATACAGTTGAGATAAGATAATCACAAGAAGACGATGATATTGGAATCATAACTCCAGTACATGTGAACCGATGAAAGGCGATTTAATATTTGCGATCAGAGCTTATTGTCGCACACATACTGAACATTATAAAGAATAGTAGTACTTCATGCATGGCAAAAAAAATAAATGTAAAATAATAAACTTTCACTATTCGTTTATTATCGTTACATCAATTCTTTTGTATTGATAAATCTTTTCAAAGCTTTTTGACCCATTGCAAATTCATACACTCTTGTACTGTTTTATGGGTTCATAAACCCTTTTTGGGGATATGAATGGAATAAACACTTAGGTAAATGATTTATCATTGCACGTTCTAAACCCAACTGCAGAATAATAAACTCTTCACGTGAGGGTTTATTCTGTTCATATATCAAAAAAGGATTTATGAACACAAAACAGGTACAAAGATATGAATTTGTAACGAGTCACAAACCCTTGCAAAGATTTACGGAAGGGTAGATTGATCTCATAAATCTAAAAAAAAGGTTTATGTAATGGCAATAAATGGATATTAAGAGTTTATTATGCTACATTTCTTGTTTACAGTGTGAAAGAAGACAATTACTCTGATCTATAACTGTAGACTGCTATCAAGTTCATTTTTCTAATATTTATCCTTCCGTATTGTCTACATCCAAAACTTCTAAGAAATAAGGCATGAGTTAGAAACTTGCTTCCTATATTATACAAAAGTAGTAGATGCATTATTTATCATCTAGCGATAAAAATGTCAATGTTTTTCCTTAGTCAGCTTCAACATTTTGAATGGTTTTCAGACTGGCAAAAATATGAATCTTTGATATTTTTATTTATTTATTAAATAAGAATAAAGTATGAATGTTTTGTTCAATATAAGAAAGTTCTGATACACTAGTGTTACCAAAACTTCATTTTCTCTTTCTATCGAAACAAAAAAAAAATGTTTTCTTTTTAATTAATAGGCTATGAAATTCTACACATCAGTTTCGACATCAACACGTGGTCAAGCTCGTCGTGTTCAAAATCTTCTATCATCACCAAAAAGTCCAGTATATATTGTTCGTAGTGATGCTGAAAAAGGTTGGGAACGTATAGCTCGTAGTTATGCATTAGAAACTTATTCAATAAATTGGTGTGAATATTGGCCATTTCTTGATACATATATAAATTTATCATCAAATGATGGTATTCGATTATTAGAATATTATCTTCAACAACGTATTTTACATTCTCAAATATTAAAAGCAATAAATCAATTGGAAAAATTTTCAAGTCAATATTTATTAAGTGAAGAAAAAAAAATTTCTAATGAAAATGATTTAATATTAAATTCTATATCACAATTAATACAATTATTTTATACATTAATTGATTTATTTAATTTAAATGAATTTGTATTAAATCGTAATTATCGTCAACATCTTGAATATGGTGGCTTTGAAAATCAAAAAAATAATGAATTAAATATAATTAAAACAAATATTATTAATCAATTACAATGGTTATCAACAGAAAATAAAAATATTTTATCTTTATTTACTCGTCCATTATTTAATTGTTTAACAATGGTATTTACATTAATTATAAGTCCATCAGGTTGTGCATTAATTGATCAGATACAACATAATCAATATGAATTACGTCATAATCAAGAAAAAATTCATCCAGCATCACGACTTAGTTTAATTGGACTTGTTTGTCCAAAACGTAGACAATCTCGTCGTTCATATAAATCTCAAAAACAACAACAAATGACACGATCAAATTCTTGGCCGAATCTATCATCATCATCGATAGACGTATCAAATATTCGTCGATGTCATTCTCAAATTGAACTTAATCAAAATAATAATAATTATTCATCATCAAGTTTATTAAATGAAGCAACAAAAAAATCGCTTAGTGATTTAACACAACAATCACTTGCTATTTCAAATACTTCATCAATGTTTTCATCACAAACTAGTGTAGATATGCTGAGAGAAGATGATAAAACAAAAATTCATAAATGGCATTATTTCTTAGCTGGGTAAAAATAACATTGTTTTTTTGTTCATTCAATGCATTAATGTCTGAAACCATCGAAACGAAAATTTTAGCGTCAAATAACCTTTCTTTCCAAAATTAGTCAATACCGACTTTTTACACTACTATATTCTTATGAGAGAAAAAAATGCCTTGTAAAAGTTGTGCTCATTTTCATTACAACAAATCATGTAGATTTTATAAGTTATATACTAAAAGATAGAGAACTAAAAATTGAACAAAATGAGTCATTTCAACATAATACAGTGTTAATCGACTTAAGTTTTATTAGGTCAACATGAATGGAAAACACCTCTTTCGATGAGTCTAAAATCCCCATTTGATAAAAATCTATCGTCTGTCACGATTCAAAAGCAGAGCGTCCGTCATTGAATTTTAAATAGATTAAATAAATTGTTATTCTCTACAAAATGGTACCTTCGGGGCGAAACGAGATTCACATCTCTTCCTCTCTTAGATAATGATTTTTTAATAAAAAACATTTAGTAGTTTTCATTGCTATAACACAATTGTAAAGCAAAATAAATGGGGAATTCACAATCAACGTCAAAAACTTCATTGAATATCAAATACATTTTACAGAATTTTTTTCTGCGTAAAATTCATCTGTAGTCCCTCAGAGGTCAGTTTTTCGTAAGAGAAAAATTTCTCTAAAATATATTTGTTTCAATGTAGTTTTTGTCGCTAATTGTGAATGTCGCATTTATTTTGCTTTACAATTGTGTTATGGCACTGAAAACTACTAAATGTTTTCTATTAAAAAATCATTATATAAGAGAGGAAGAGATGTGAATCTCGTTTTGCCCCGAAGGTACCATTTTGTAGAGAATAACAATTTATTTAATATATTTAAAATTCAATGACGGACGCTCTGCTTCTTAATCCTGATAAGAGATAGACTGTTATCAAATGGACATTTTAGACTCATTGAAAGAGGTGTTTTTCATTCATGTGGACCTTATGAAACTTGAATCGATCAATACTGTATTATATTGAAATTGGGCATTTTGTTCAGTTTTTAATTCTCTATCTTTTAGTATATAACTCATAAAATCTACATGATTCGTTGAAATGAAAATGAGCACAATTTTGAAAAGAAAGACAATCAGATGGTAAAATTTTTAGGTTTTTTGATTTCAGACATTAATGTATTGAATGCACAAAAAAAAGTTTTATCGAGTATCTCGTATACCCGACAGTCTCGTAATTACTATCTTAAAATCCTATGTGTTCATATTTATTTTAGTTCTCAACCAACAAAACTTGATGCGCATGTCGTACGTGCCATAGATTTAAATAAGTCAATAAATATTAATGTTCGACAACAATATCGTCTTTGGTCCAAATGGTATCAAGCTGTTCAAATGCGTCCAATTGAAGAACAAAATTTATGGACAACACCAATAAGAAATTCATCGCCATCAAATCGAAAGGTGAGAATCGAGCATGTTTGCTACCACCGCTCGTTAATCATCAATTCGCCTTAATCTAACCAATTTTTTCTCGATGTTTGTGATTGTATATACATATCAAAATTATTTCGCTTTTTTTCATGTGCTAGCTTCTTGTATTTTTTTTTGTACATATTTAAATATCAAAGAAAACCAGATAAGAATAAAAATCCCTTTTCATCACGCAGGTATCAACTCCTGGTGAAAATCAATCGTCTTTATTAAAAATGGTAACACGACAGGCATCGAAAAGAAAAATAAATAATCGCGAACAATCACCGGTGTTAACACAAGACAAAATTATAGAAAAAAAACGATCGAAAAAGTGATTTATTTTATATAACTTTGTTTCGTCAATAGTATGCTTCTACTGTGTACTTTTTTCATTGTTATTTTTATTGATTTTTGATAATGATTTCTTTCAAAAACATATTACAATTGAATTCCTTTTTATGAATATGAGCTTTTTTCAAGTCATTGACAAGATTATATTAAATATTATTGAACAGTCTTATTCATTAACGTTTTAAGACGGGGAGTTTACCGGAATACCGAACAACATAAACAAGGTCAGCTTCGGAAAAATTTTAGATTTTGAATTTGATTATTTCATTAAAAAGTCTACAAAAAGTTGTTATGAAAACCCAAATATCAACTCATTTCGGTTTACTTATTTAAAAAAATCTAAATTTAGTTCACTATTATTAGAAAACTATTATGAATAAAACTCTATTTGGAATAAAAGTCAATCTTTCATTCAAATAAAGCTTTGCTGAAAGTCATTTCAACAGAATATTATCCATACATAAAACTGATCATAAATCCATTTGAAATCGATTAAAATAGTACTAGTTTTATCCCAATGATGATCTGATATTAAACTTATATGTTGATTTTTATTTCTAATTTTCAATATTTTCTTCAAATCTCTTCTATCGATTAAAATTGAGACATTCTTTTTTTAATCGATTGAAAAGAATTTCAATAAAAGAATTTTGACAATAAAAAGAAAATTAAATTAATAGCCAAATATCAGATTAAAATCGACTGAAAATAGTGTCATTTTAATTAATACTTACTATTTGAAATCGTTAAAAACCAAGAACATTACATTAGTATTGACAGCACTATCAAATGGAACTATTCCATGAATATCAATTCAAAAAAAAATTATTTCATTGAAAATTGTTTAGACTCACTTGAAATTTTAAATGTTCATACGAAAAGAAAATTTATTTCAGAAACGATTTACACAACTAAAGAATGCTTGGAAGAATCGATTAGTTTAGCAAAACATACAAATCAATTTCAATATCAACTATTGACAAAGATATGTTTAGACAATTCATTTTTCTGAGAAGTCACATGAAACTTTCGTGTTATTGAAAAATCTTTGTGTGAAAGAATATTTGATTTTTTTTTCATTATGTTTCATGTATGCTTTTAAGACTGTTCAATGATGCATCAAATGAAGAACCTGTTAGAAATGAACTATTTTTATCACTATCTAATAAATGATCATGACTGTTATTTGTACTACTGGCTATATCAAAAGTATTAAATGGTGGAATAAGAATAGATGAATGTGATCGGGATTCATTTGAATGTGAACCACAAGATAATGTTTCTATAAATGGATTTTGTAATGTTGAATTTACTTGTCACATACGTTCACTATGACTTGTTTAATGAAGAACATTTCTACGAATACCTTTAGTATTATTTGCTGCTTGATAATTTTCATTCAAGGATTGATGAGAATGAATATCATCATCTTGACTTGATAAATTTCGTGCTTCTTCTTCAACAATACAAATAGGACTAATTAAAAGAAAAATTTTCAACCAATTTTTTTTACTGACGTGCATCGATTTTAGCTGTAAGATTTGATATAATTGTTGATATTGATTAAGGTGTCACATTTGAACTAACTTTTGCTTGATTAAGTTCATTGTAAACAGATGATAAACTTGGCTATATTATTTGTTCATAATGATGACTATGTATGGATTAAATTTCTTTCGGTTTGTTTTTATTACTATAACTCATTTATTTTTAAATATATTGTATTTAGCGAGAAAGTATGGAACATGCTGCATCTCATAATATATTCATCTTGAACAGCAAATAAAGTTTAAGACGTAAAATTGTATCAAGAAAATAAGTAGCGTTTTTCTTACAAATGAATAGTGAGGATTAAGCAGATTTCTGCTTATAAATACAAAACACCATAAATACAGGTTTGTATTCAGAGATTTTGCCCGTTAGACCTTTGATTTCAAATGAAATCAATACTATACTCAGAATCAGTCATAAACCTTTGCATCGAATAGTATACTGAATGCTTGCAATAAATTTTTGTCAAATTACTTTCCTTTCACCCTTCACTCTTCACTGTTTCGTTTTCGAATAATCTGACCTATGGTTCTTCTAAGGTTGAAATATGATGAAAACTTGTTTTTAAGTATTATGTCTACTATTCGATGCAGATTTTTTTTAGCTAACTCTAAACATAATGTTCATTTCATTTGAAACCAAAGTTTTACTAGCCGAAGTCTCTAAATATAAACCTGTATTTATGGTGTTTTGCCGTCCTATCGAAAAGTTGATTTTCAGAACACTGAAATAATAACTTTCAAAAAACATATCGAATGAATATTGCACATAGCGAGACGAGATACTTTTGGAGTATTACAATTTTTATAGGCTTTTCTGTTTTTTTTAATGTAGTTTTCCTAATTTTTACTACAAAAACATTGCTCAAATATATCAAAAACAAAATTTTTACAGTCGATTCGATGAATTCTATCAAACTGCAAAAAACCTATTAAGAAAGATTTTTTTCTCAGATCTCGAATTACCAGGACCTTAATGTAACAAAAATTGTTTGTCCTTTTCAGTTAAATATGCATTATCTAAAGATTATTTCGGTAATAATGACTTTAGACTTTTTAAATCTCCAACATTTTTCACACATCCACATAATTCATTTTTCATTACTAATAATATAAGTTATTCTGAGTCTTCGAAATAATTTCTCTGCAAGATTCAAAAGAATGTCTTCATATTTCATAATTTTCATCCCTTTCAAAGAAAGTTGTTCAATTTATAGAAAGCAAAGAAAAAGACTCATACACATACACAAACAAATACAATAACTAAAATATTATCCATTTCGATTCAAAATTGGTTCTCGTACAAAGAAAATAATTGATGCAGCAAGCATACTAATAAGATAAAATATAAAACAAATTCGATCAACAATAATAGCTAAAATTTTCCATTCTTCATATATATCATATAATAATTGTGAATCAATATTTTGTTTTCTTGCATGTATTGATAAAAGTAAACGTTGACATTCAAGTATTTCACGTAATATAGAAACTTTTAATTGTTCATCATCGATTCTACTTGGATCAAATTGTGTTTGCATTTTAAGTAATATTTGTTCAATATTATGTGTTAATGAATGTTGTTGAATTGATGTATGAGTAATGTCATCTTTGTCACCATCATCATCACTTGTTGTTTTTGTTGCTGTTTTTGAAAGAAGAGGTAATTTAACTTTACTATGTTTATTATTTCGACCAATGTCACCATTTGAATTATCTTGACGATCAGTAGAACGTCGTGGAAAAGATTTAGTAGAAGTTGATGGAGAAAGTAATTGTTCATAACTAATAAAATGAAAACCAAGCCAATGACCAATTTTACCCATTACTATACGACGACACCAACGAGGTACACGTGATTTTTTCGGTCCACGATAATGAAAATTAAGTACGACAACTGTAAGAACAACAGAAATAAGCACCAGTATTAAATTGGCATTAAAATATATACCTAAAAAAAACACATATCACAATTGTTAGTATAGTTTATCGTCTTCGAATTTTCAGTTCTTGCAGTGTTCTAAGTTATTTTTCTCCATGACGTTATTCACTAAGACGTACAAAGAGAGTCTTTTACGAGGGAACCATCCGAGATGATGCCTCGTGTTTGAGATGGGATCCAGTCATTAGCTAAGGCCTGTTGAGAATAGAAGAAGCCTAGAAGGATTCTTGTTTATGTGCTGCTCTTTTTGGATTTATAGCTGCTACACTGAATTTTTTTGATGTAGTACGGTATTTATAGAAAAACTGGGCACATAAATTCAGGGCTAAGATTTTACTTATAGAAAACTCTTGAAATTATTAGAATCTCCTAAAAATTTCAGCCTAAAAGAACGATCTCTTCTCGAGATATCCAATATATACAAAAAAAACCCATGATATTCCACCAAAAAGGATGGAAAATCTAGTTGTTTTTTTTTTGTGTATTTGATATCTCGATAAGTGACTATTCTGTTTTAGCTGAAGTTTTTAGGAAATTCTAATGACTTCAAGACTTGTCTATGAACAAAATTTTAGGCTTAAATTCGTGTGTCCGATTGGCTTTTTACATCGATACTACGCCAAACGTAAAAAATCTAGTGTAACAGCCGTAACTCCTTATTTTTTCGACGAGAACATTTTTGTGTAAATAGAAGAATACTTTTCCATGTAGATTGAGTGTGGATGTTCTCTTCAATCTCATTTCACACCTACATCCAATTAAATACAAGCTTGTTTAAAATATTTAACTTACCAATAATAGGAAGATTTGAAGAAGCTTTTGGCGTATAATCAGAAATAAGTTGAAGAAAAACTGTTAAAGCAAGAAGAATTGTAATTGTTAATGTAATTTTTTCACCTGAATCCGGTGGAAGCCAAAAAACAAATAATGTTAAACAAGATAAGATTGAAAATGGAAATATCATATGATTAACATAGAATTGATAATTACGTTTCATATGTATATGAAATACAAGCCATAAATAACGATTCATGGTAGCATTTTGTACAACAATTTCATAAACTTGCCATTCTGTACGAATATATTGACTTTGTTGACGAACATTTTGTGGTTGATGTCGAACTAATAATTCATCCGATGGACGTGACCATGATTGAATTTCAAGTGTACAATTTTGTTTATCTAATAAATAAATATAAAATTAAAATGAAATTATTAAAATATAAAATAATTACCAAATGGAAAATATGTTATAACAACATCACAATAAGATCGAAATACATCTGGATAGACCCATTCAACTGTACCATTCCAATGAACAGTTAATAAATAATGTTCACGTCGTTGAGAATAAGCAACATCAGCTGAATTGAATAGAACAATGTCTGGTGTCCAAATTTCAAGTGCAGAAAAAACTGTACGATTTTGATCATTATATTCACTTGGTATCCATCGTAAATGTTCATCTTGCCATTTTAATATAACTTGAACATTTGTTGTCATTACTTGATTTTGTTCATCCTAAATTTTATTTGATAAAATAAAAAAAACCAAGCATGTGTTCATTAAAAAATAAACTTGTTAGCGGAATCCCATTACGGTTGAAATATGGAGCTCACATGTATTCTGTAATCTCATTATACTAATACACAAGATACATAGAGAGAAAAACCTTTCGCAAAGTATAGTTATTCTTCAAGATAATTGATCTGTCATATTTATTTTTGCATGTCGGAGAGAATATTTTTATTTGCGTTATTGCTATTTACTCGTTGTTTTTCTTTGTCGCATTCCGTTTTCCTTAATTTAACATTATTATTGTTCTAGCTATTGACAAATAATCTTGTCGTATATATCTATTATATCTAGAGAAGGTCTCAACGCACTATTATATATCTTGATAAGCTCAAAAATACTGATATTGATTATTTTCCAAAGTCATAACTTAATCAGTTCACTTTTTTTATGTTGATCATATGACGACTGTGGTAAATCAATGCATCACTTATCATCATCCTTGATATCTTAAATATAAATTTTTATCTGAGCAAAAATTAAAAACTGAATTATTTAGAATATTTGCAAATATATTCCAACCATTCAACTTTCGAGGAGTGTTTAAATCTTGTCGTTAATACCTTTCAATGCCTTTTACTGTTGCTAAGGAATTCTGTGAAAACAGTTTGATGTCTGTTGTCCTTGGTGGCTACGATCTGTTATGGAGACAGCCACAAAGTGTTAACTTACAACTTACAATGATTATTTTCTTCGAAAAAATTATGTAAGTTCCACAAAAAAGAACTATCTTACTAAATTCATCACTTGAATGATGGTAAGACCAACATCGACAATAGTTACTGTTGTTGTATTAATAACTGGTCGTGCTTCAGGTACATAACTTTCAAGTAATATTGAACGTAATCGAGATTCATCTGAATTAAATTGAAGTGCTAAATAAAGAAAAAATAGTTCAAATGAGTAAGAATTGTTTTTTCTTCCTATAATTAAAAATTCTAAAAATTGGCTATTCAATATATAATCATCTACGATCAGTACTTCCTTAATCATTAAATAAGAAAAATTGCTATCAAAGATTTGTTGATAATCAAATAATGATGTTTTTTTTTTATTTTACACAAATCCATTGATTTCTCTATTCAATACATGTTATGTTATTCAAGAGCATCTTGAAGTTCTCTATAGAGATACTTCATTTTCTGATTTTACAGCTATTAATATTTGCATATAATGCTATAAAATTTGTAAGACATTTTTTTTGATAAACTTACTTCCATCATCATCTATTTCGATATCATTTCCAAATGTTGCACCTTTACTTTTTCGATTAGCTGTTGTTTTATCAAATTTACGATTTGTATATTTAAGTGAACTAGCAAAAACTGATGAACTCGATGCTGAATAAACATAAGAAATAGAGTTAAAAAGAATAAAAAATAAAAATAGTTGAATTGAAATATTGAAGTTCATTGTTTTGATTATTTAAAGATTGAATTGACCGTTGTATTAAGTAATATCGTAAAAGATTCATAGAAGAAAAGCATTTCATTTAATGTCGTAGTTCTATTTAGATTTTGATCGACAAGCGTTAAGTTTTTGATACTTTTCGTTTGTGATAACATCCTTATTTGCCATTGTTCTCGAGGTTTTTTGTCGTTGTTCAATCAGAGACAAAGATAGAGACAGATGATCTCAAAAATTCATAGATGATTACAGAATGCATTAGCGTTCCGAACTAACAAAAAAAAAAAAAAATATATATATATAGAAAAGGAGAAACGTCAATTTGGTCTCCGATTTAGCTTCCATCGTCATTCAGTTTATGTTCTTGTTGTTGTTGTCTTCGTTCTCGATATTCTAAAACTCATTCATAAGAATGACAAAAGAATGATGATGATAATGATGACAACATGAGCAGCGAAAAACAGAGATTCTTTTCACTATTGTAGTTTGATGAAATCTAAGAACAGT